GCCCGCCGGCACCGGCCAGCGCGGCGGGGAGCCCAGCTCGGGTCTCTGCCGAGTGGAAAACTTCTGCGTCCCAGGCCGGGCAGAAAGGCGGGCAGCCCTGTGTGCTCAGCGCCCCAGGGACAGCCAGCAGCACAGGGGACAGAACCAGATGTTGCCAGAGGCAAAGTGTCAAAGGAGCGGTGCTCACTCCCCTGATCTAAGGACTAGCTCCTCCATTTTACTCCTAATGATGAGACCCAAATATTGCACAGCTGAAATACAACCTCCCGCTTTGAAATTCACACGCATCTGATCAAAGAATTACTGCCGGGCTTTGAAAGCAATAAACACTGAGCAGGTAGATTCTGTGCTTGACCTCATTCCCAACAGCAGAGTACCCATCAAAGAGCCACCCTACCCTTCACCAGTGCTGGGAGTACAAAACAATTGCATTGAGAACACAAGAAATTTCAGAGCTAAAATGGTTGATGAATTCCACAAAGAAGGATATAGAGAAATAAGTTAAATAGACTTAAACGAGATCATTAATTTACATTAATGAGAATAGACCCAGGGAAGAAAACATTTTCCAAATGAGAACAATCAAGGTTTACTGATGAACAAATAACCAGAAGAGGCAAGTGCATTGATTCCCTACCTATGTTTAGCATCATTTAGGAAAGGCAAATACGATGCAGAGTTTATAAAATGTGTACAATACTAAGTGTGAATACAGGTTTGGGCATTTAGAAAGCTGAAGGGTCAGTGCCCAGAGCAGTTACAACAAGTTACAGGAATAACGTGGAAGAATGGGGAAGAAAAATGCAGCAAAGGCAACAAGGGTAACAGGTCTCCATGTGAATACAAGTTAAATTTGTAACAGTTACATAAATTTTAAAAGGATGCATATCAAACTCCTTGGAAAATGCTACCTTTAAAGTCACAACAAATACTTTCCTCTGGCTTTTTCAAAGTACAAACATTAGACAACTGACAGAAAAAACAGATGTGCCACATCTTACCTTCCTGAAAAAAAGCTGTTACATCATCGATGGCTGCTCTGTATGAAAAAAGACAGTTAAGTCACACAGGAAAATTGCATAAAGCATCCACGTCAAGAAAAAAAAATGTTAGTGATCATTTACACTCTTGGAAGACCCGTTGCATAATTTATCCAGGCACAGCCGTTTTTACAGTGACACCTTTGTAGCTCTAAAATATGCATAACACGTTCTCATAAAGGCCCAAATTATACATTTAAATGACAGAATGTTAACAGTTTGCTGGAACAGACTATTTCTTAGCCCAATCCAAAGTTTCTCTTTCATAACCTCACATCATCACCTTTTCCATCATTTAAAACAACCTATTCTAAGCATTTTTTTAATAAAGAATACCTGAAATCCTCTGTCTAATAAGTAGTTTCATGAACTGTCCAGAGACTTTTTCAACCAGTAATTCTAATGTTGACCAGCAGCACTGTTTTGAAATGCTGGAAACAGTGATGCTTTGATAAAAGCTTACAACATAAAGCAGCTCACTACTACTACTTGTTTTATTTTGCCTAAAGGATAGGTCAGAAAAGTAAATTATAATAAAAAATTCAGAATTCAGTTAAGAACTACTGGATGGGAATAGAGCTACAAGGAAAGTTATTTAAGGACCAAACAAGTAAACAAATTATTGAATTAAGAGACAGGGAAGAAGATTCATACTAGTGGATAACTGATAGGCCATTAATTAACACGCAAAACATTTGTGTTAGTTCAATGTAGATTAACTTAGCAAAGCAAAACAGACAACGCAGAAGCCAGAAGAACAGCAAGGCACCTCTGAGAATTAGTCAGGTAGGAATTTGGACAAATAAAAGACAGTACAAATGGAAATCAATGTTCAGCCAGAGTACTGTGAACTTGGGCTGCGTGTGCAGGGACCCTGGGACATGCATGACAATGCTGAATTTGGATTTGGCGTTCCCATTAATAGAGAAATACTGACAAAAATCCCCAAAACAAATTCAAAGATAAGTCACAAAACGACTGCAGGAGTCAGAAAAGTAGTAATTAAAAAAATACCAATTTATAGTGTTAAAAGTATGAGTTTGCTGAAGTAGAAGGGTAACTACAATGGGTCATGAGAAGAAACATTGTAGACTGAAGTTTTCAGGGCAACACAGAGTTCAATGTGAGTATCAAAAAACATTGCCTAATTAAGTAAAAATTCCCCAAGTCACTAGACGGCCAGGCTTACTCTTTCAAAGGTTGTCTTGAATACCTATACCACAGACATCAGCTTGTTTACACCGGGCTATAGTCTCAGGAAGAATACATAGAAACGGAAGACAATCCACTGTAGATTTATGTAGGTTAAAAAGAAATAAAACAAAACAAAACAACAACAACAACAAACCCAACCAACCAAAAAAAAAAGCCCACAAACATATATCTGACCACCTAACATACAGGAGGGAAGCAGCAAGCTTGATGTAGGTTAAAAAGAAATAAAACAAAACAACAACAACGACAAACCCAACCACCCAAAAAATCCCACAAACATATATCTGACCATTTAACATACAGGAAGGAAGCAGCAAGCTGGAGGTGATGATTAGGCAAAACCTGCCAATTTTGGCTGGTAAAGTCACCAAAAGCTGGCAGTCCTGTTGGCTTGGGACATTTAAAACTTGTATCTGGACAACAGAGATGCACAGATCCAAATTCCAAGGATCCAGATGACGTGGAGGAGGACAAGTGTCCTCATTTGCCTCCACTGTAAGTGAAAATACCAGTTTTTCTCCTTTTACAGTAATAGGGGCAAGTCTGTAATCAAAGACAATAGACACACTTGCAATGCTGAAAATTAACTGCAGGCCTGTTATAAGGACTCATGACAACTATGTTCAAACATTTCTTCTAGGCAATGAATCATGATTTTTTGTTACTTAAAACCAGATGAACACCGTTTAAAAGTAACCTCTTTTACATTTGATTTACATACCAAGCTTCATGGAAATGTGGCTTTGTACTTTAGAAGAGTTTTCCTTGAAAGGAAGGAATTAAATAATGAAATTCAAGTTACTCTATCAAGTAATCTGTACTTTACACTTTCCTTGTGGATGAAAACTCTGCACCAAATAAGATTCAAAACTTCAGCAAGCTCTAATCCATGCATCCTTTATTCCATTACAATCACTGTGTTGCGTTATAGCAACAGGACACAAACTGCAATCAATCGCGATCAATTTATACAACAATCTGAGGCTTACAGTACATTTAAGGCCTTTAAATTTGGAAAAATTAGACCTATGCTAGTAGTGTAACAATTTTTAAGTGTCTTGCATTTCTGATGCATAATCTGTGCGATTCCAGTGTCAAAGAATCAAATTACTTCTAAACTAAAAAGATCAGCTCAATGAAAATTTAGTTACATAAATTCATCAAAACATAAATGTGTAAATTTTTTTTTGTCCTGGAAACGTTATAAAACTTTAATAGCAAAATAATATAGGGATAAAAACATATTTTAACAAAATGTATTCAATCATATACAAACCAGAATTTTGCAGTTTATTGTAACTAGACTTAAATTAAAGCTACCAATTAAGAATCTATGCACAATGTAAATTCAAATATGTACAGTACTTTTAAAAAGTCTACAGGAATGCTTTACAGAAGGAAATGTCTGTTATGGCTATTATTCAGACCATCTGAATATTAAAATGAGTTTTCTAGTAGTAAATTTACACATTTATTTTTAAACAAAAGCAATTTTGTCCCTAGTTCCTTTAAGAATATTCCAGTTACGTTTATACAGGTAATGGAGAGGTCATTACAGAGTTTAGCCCCATATAGTAGTTTGTTTATTTTCAGGAAAAAGTATATTCAAATAATTTACTCAGGAAGATCAGTAAGTTAACGAAAGAACACTAGAAGGGAAGAGGGGAAACTTCATCACAATAACTTTCCAGTTACAATACCACAGCTAGAAACTTTACAGAGAAAGTACTCCCTTCGATTTAACCCATGACTGATTGTTCAGAACAAGCTGTAGCTCATAACAGTTGTGTTCTCCACACTGGGAACACTGGAAAAAAAAGTCTCTGTAGGACAGAATTAGAAACAATCTGAAGTGAGACGGAGAAAACTGATCTTCGATTAATACAGCACTAGGTAAAAAGTGTCCCTGTAAGCAGCTAGCATTCCCACTTCCTTCAGGGCAACGAAGCTAAAAATTGTTGGAATTACAGTAGTTGACCATATCTGTGTGCATTAGTAGAATCATTTCCAGATATAAAAGACAAATTTCATCAGATGTTTGATTAGAACACCCTAAAGACAGGGTATTTCTTCATAGTATAAAGCTATTACAGGTATCCAGTTAAAGCATGTGCAAAAACAGGTAATTTCTTCCGTTCACAGTAACTGAGGTAAAATCAGGTAGGCTTCTTCAGGAGTTGGGAAGTTCATGAGATATGAACTGTTTTAGTCTCTCCAAGTACTGTGCATAAAGCTCTATGTCATTATGCCCAGCCCCTTCCACCCAGAGGGGCTCTACCGCTCGTGGACATCGCTCGTACATGGCCAGGCCGTGGGAGAAATCGATTACCTCATCTTCGGTACCATGGATTACCAACACAGGAGAGGTTACTTTAGATATCTTGTCAATGCTGGGGATGGAAAAGAAAAACATCACTCAGATTGGGGCTTTAACTTCTGTACCATCAGAGAAAGCAAGCTTAACTATCAATACACCACCAGCTACCGCTGCGTGTTTTTAAATGGCTGCAAAACATTGGGATTGCGCCCAAGTGACAGGGAACAAGGCTCACTCCCAAAACACATGTGTAAACAGGAGCCTGCACTGCCATCACCACCATCCCACCAGTTCTAACAACAACCCACCAGTTCTGACAACAGAAGCTCGAATGGGCAGCACACAAATAAAGCTTGGCACAAAAAATTCCCCAAAACAGTGAGTATATTTATCTCAAAAACCATTGAGAGGCAAGTAAGATTCCATGGGACACACTGCCAGTGTGGACTCTTCACATTACATATTATCACCTTCCAGTTTAACAGATTAAGAATTAATTAACTACATTCCAGTCATAAGATTATTAAAAAAAAAAAAAAAGCCTCAGCTCATGAGGTTTGAACCTGTCTTTAAACCCCAAATTAAAGCAGATTCAGATAAAGAGAAACAATCTGTTCTTTGTGCTGATTATCTACATTCAAATGGCAAGAAAGAAAACGGTTGGAGAAGGGCATCACACAAGAATATTTAACCACAAGCCAGAAGAAACACATAGGATTTTATGCAAGCAACTTCTGCCAAGTGGCCTTAAAGGAAACTTCTTTCCCTTTTGGTCCAGCTACATGTAGCAGACCCATATAGCTAGTGACTGCCTCTCACAGGAAAACAGGTTCAGAGGTAAAGGAAGAGTGACAAAGGCATCTTCACACCTACAAGTTCAGGCCAGAAAACCTCAGTTACAAAGCATACTGGTGGCACATGAACTTGAAAGTGGTAAACAGCAGCTTTCTCTGACTGTCTTCATGCAGGCACCAGCTTTTATTTCCAGACATTTCATGTTGGTAGTTACCAATAATTACAAATCAGTATGTAGGCACCAAGTGCTAATGAACTCTCAGCTTCCTACCAGCTCCACTTACATCAACAAATGAAGGAATTGGCTCAGGATATTATGCAGAGTATGGGATGAAGTGGGTGGAAAAATGAGTATCAGTAATATTTGATGTGACAGAAGAACAAGCCTATTTCTCAACACTATCTAATAAAAGTTGTTTGGATTTTCCTGCTCCTGAAGAACAAGAAAGCATGTAATTTTGGTATGACTAGAGATTTTACAAAGTGATCAAGACTGCTTAAAATCATTAAAATACAGATGCCAATATACACTGACTTAAAAACAGGTTTGAAGAAGCTTTATGAAAATAAAAAGTTAATTAAAAATTAAGGTGTAGACTGAAGCACTAAACTTCACACATACAAATATCAGCATTTAGCATTCTAGAGAACAGTCATTGGTATTCCAGTAAACAGCTGAGTGTAAACACATTTCTGTCTCAATGCTTCTCCAAAAACAAGCTTCGTGTCATTTAAAGAGGGAAAGTGTTATTTAAAATTAAAATGCAGTCTATTTCACTTTTCCTGTCTGGAACTTGAGCTGTGTGCAACTATGCCGAATACAGAAAAATATCCCAAGAACGTAAGAGAGACATCAGAATAATGCAGATTTTCTTCCCTGTCATTTTCATTCTCAAATTAATATCACAGCCAAATGTAAATACTTTATAATCATCATGCTACATAGACTGAAGCCTTAAGCCCATGAAGGGTCTGTCCTCGAGTTCCACAATGTGACAGACATGTCAGCCACATACAGCCACAGAGATGTTTATACACTATTTTAGTGGCTAGATACTAAAGTCTCATTTATTATAGGAAATCCCTTTCACTTCAGTATTCAGATAATGAAACTATTTTTTCACATATATTCACAGACCATTAAGCTAGATAATATTTGTATTTTGCAGAAAACTGGAATGTGTCCCACTGCCAACTCAGCGACTCATAAGGCAGTATTTAAACTGCACATTAGACTTAGTATTCTTCGCCACACTGCTCTGCAGCTAGAAAAATCCACAGAGACCAAATTCTCATGGAGTCCCAACAGAAAATGCACATAATAGCAATTCACTGTAGGTGCACACAGAACTATTTTGTTTCCCACTGTGAAGACAGACAGCTGAGCTGCACACATTCATAGAAGTGCACTGCTGTTTATTTTCACTGCTTACAGTACAAGTGAAGTCAGAGTGACAGCAATGAACAGCTCAGTAGGGTAAGAACAAAATACTCAAGTGCTACAGTGCATCTGTTGTCACTGTTCCCCCCCCTTCCACTTTTTCTTTTTTAAACTGTTATTTGGTTTGGCTGATATCAGCTAATCACTGTTACTTCTGTAATCAGAGCTATTTTTAAGGCTTTGTTTTCTCCCTCTCCCAGAAGCATTTGTAAATACTGGATTTCAGGTTTGAGGATGATGAATGAGTTGGAGTATAAGCATTTCAAATTCTGACTGCACCTTCAACAGTTTAATTATTTACTTAATTAATAACCTGTTTGGAAGAATTCTAAACATGGGGACTGGACATAGACACTGAGAGCCACTATTACTCAGTCGCTATTACTTCTGCCTGCTTCACATACAGATTTATATCTACAGCCTCCTCCACCTTCTAATTTTAATCTGTTGTAACCAAAATAAAACAAACACAACAAAAGCTATGAATATCCCCTACTACACTTATTGCAAGCATGACCTTCCAAAGCAAAGCTGAGCTTTGCACAAGACTTCAGCAAGCCTCTACTTTGTCTTCTCCCTTCCGTGGACCACTTAGCTTTTTACCTGAGCCTCTCCTCACACCCCAACACAGCCCCAGTCTATATACACTGCTACAAAGAGACTGCCTTCCTCTCTCATATTCTCCCATAACTTAAACTGGGTCAAATAAGAAGTTTTAAAAAATTCCTAGAACATCTGCTATTCCCAGGATTTCTACTATTCCCAAATATTTGGGTATTCTAATTTAGGTCTGTTACAATTACTTTTCAAAATAAACACTAGGCTATAAAGGCAACTGTTTTATCTTGAAACCAGTTACATATAGCTTTCTATATGCAAAATATTCTAGAGCTTCTTAAAACAAGCTCAAAATCTTCCAAAGAGGGAGAGTAACTTACTTTATTTTGTTCACAGACATTAGGATCTTACATGATCTCCCATCAGAGCGGAACAAATACAAGTCTCTGTATCTTTATGGACAGCATACCACAGATGCAGAAGTGGTTTTACTTACAAGTATCAAAAGCAAAAAAACCACTAAATGCATTCCCTTAAGATTATACATGAAATGCAGAACCAAGCTGAGAAGTGAACCACACCAGTCTAACACTCTAGCCTCTGACCCTCTCTTGTTTTCTCTCTTTAAAAGCAACAATTATCTATAACTTTTTCTCTGCTGATCTGGTAAAACCATGGCAATCTTTTAACACGCAGCTTGAAAACAGCACATCCATTTCATGGTATCATATTACCTTCTAAATCAAAGCTGACTGAGATGTTAAGAGCGTACAATTACTAATCTGTTAGTCATCAGCCTGAAGGACTTAATAGTGTATTATCAGATGTTAAGCTACTATTACAAACTTGACTGCATAACAATTCTGTTATTAACAAGCCATAACACAAAAAAAACAGGTGAAAAATTAGTTGTAAACACTAAGACTTTACTAGTTCATTGAGTCTTAGTTTGAGATTGACAACAGCCTGTTTCTTACATGGTGGATCTCTGCTTGGATTTAGAAGGTGTACATATCTGAAGTTTAAAATGCAGGTGACAATTCAATAAAGTTCCCTGGAAAGTAACACAACTAGTCCCTTTTAAACACCTAAACAGCATGTTGAGCATAGAACAACCCTCTTTGCAGTGTTTATACATACCTTGGAAAAGCATCAAAGCAATAGGTTTTCCTAGTGTCAGGAAAAGCTACCCGTAATCCAGACATCAGGGGAGAATGAAGGATTACTGCTGCACACTCGTACCGAGATGCCAGGTCTACTGTAGGAACAGTACCAATACTCTGACCATACAGAATAATGTTCTCAGGACTAACACCATATCTGTAGAGAAAAGAAACACCATTTTTAAAAACAAAACAAATCAAAACAACAAATTTTACATCACTAAAGCAAAAAACAAACCAAAACAAGCAAAAGGAGAGACAGATAAAAACCAAAGCATCCCTCCTACCTACTGTAGCTCTGTAAAATCTGTTCTTAGGAGACATGAATTTACAAGTCCAAATTTTAAAACAATCCAGTAAAGTAAATAATCAAAACATTACACAGGCTGAAGAGAGCTATCTTCAAAGAAGGAACATCAGTTTGTTTGTTAATCTTCACCATCTTCATGAGCACCTCTTATCTTTCACTCCACAGCACAGCAAATTATAAATTAGACTTGCCCCCTATCCAGAGTCACTCTCAGGAAGTTCAATTAGATATTCTGGAGGCTAACAACCTTTCCACCATTAAACAAGACAGTCACTCCTCTGCCCACCTTTCTTTCCACGCAGCTGGAACAAAAAGACCGAACTGTCTTGTTACTGTACCTAAAGACACCAAAAATATAAAAATTTGAGAGGACAGTTCTGTTCATTTTTTCAGTTTCTGATCAGCGTAAATTATTCCTCATTTTTCTTTTCCAGTTTAAAATATATTAAGCTTATTTTGTAATGATAAAGATACATAATTCCATAAAATTCAGGGTTCATAGGGAGTCCTGGGTGGTTCCCCAATATTCTCATCCAGTCTAAAAAACTGTCCTAGCTTGTGTGCTGTTTCACCGCTGCAAAAAAGTTGAGGATTATACTAACTCAGTTTTTACTTGAAGTATGCAAAATATAAAGGAATTTGGAAGGGGCACAAGAGGTGGTGACAATGGTAAGGAAGAAGTGAAGAGTACAATAGTATTTGATCACTACGACTTGTTAGGAAAGCTGCAAAGGAAAGCAGTTACTTGGTTAATTATAAAATATTTACCCAGAAGATTTCTACATCTAACTCCACTTCCTATTGCAAGATGTACAATTGAGTGCAGAAGAGAACACATTTGTAGTAGAAAATAATTTGTGCAGAACATGTCTTTTTGCTAGCCTACACTGTCTACAGTCCTGCTGTCACTGATATGACAATGAAAATCAAAACCTACAGTTTAGGCTACACCCAATGCATGCCTGGAAGGCTTCAACTTCCTTGCCAAGCTGATAGTGAGGTGTATGGCAGGCCTGGATAGTACTCAGCTTTCAAGGAGATAAATGATTGGGTATGTGGAAAAGACAGAAAATTACAATGGAAGAATAACCAATTAATAATTAAAATTACAATAGAAGAATAATCCAGTACTAATCATCCAACCACAGGTTGTCAAGATTGCCTGGTTTCATGGTGAAGTAAAACTAGACTGGATTATAGCCTCTGTGAAACAAGAATTTTCTTAATATTTCTATACTGCTGAGCATAAAGGTGCTTTTGGCATCTACTGCAATATGAATAAGCAACTGTATAAAAATATCTCCCTGGAGTAAAATTTTATCCTCTTGGTAACCAAGCAGCAGCCCACGTTGGTGGTCTATCACCACAGCCACGGCCTGATGTTTTTAAAGAGATGTTGGGAAGCTCTTTTAGGAGAATTTTTTCTCCCTTACTGTTAGAAATAGTCCAGCACACAGCAGAGCCTGGTTGATTTTGGCATGCGTGTTAACAGGATCTTGTCCTCACAGACCCCACTCCAGCTGTTGGGCAGGGAGAGCTGGAGGCATGTACCTTTCAAGGCAGCACGTGTCCAACCTGCTGATCTACCAGTTGCTGCATCATGTTAAAGACAGGCAAAAATGCATCAACATCAGGGAATACAAGAAAACGGGGCTGGAACAAGATCCTCCACATGGCACTTAAGTAGGGATGGAATGACATTAACGCTGGTAGGTTTTGCAATACCATCCTGAACTCCAGTACCATGATAAATGTAAAGTCCCCTTCCTAAAAGTTTACAATCTAAGCAGAATATGGAAACAGATGCTTGAATGAGAATCACAGGATAACAGGACAGCACAGGGTAGCAAGAGAATTCCTTCAACACATACAATTGTCTTTGTATGGCAATTTTCTTCAAGATTGATCTGCTTTGGATTCAGGTCTTTTGATGTTTTGTTTCTGAAAACAGCTCGTAAGTGGAGCACCTTGCTGCTGTGGCAATAGATACCCTAGAAAAAAAAATCCCAATTTCACAGTATGCCAGTTAAAGTCAGATACAGTCTACAGCAGCATTAAAAACCCCACAGAGATCTCTAAATTTAAAGTAGCCCTTCATCATTAAATAAATGCTACAATTATTCAGTATCTAACTCTGCAGAAAGGCAATGTGACAATTTTGACAAAAAAAAAAAAAATCATAAAAGGGTATCGGGACACTGAGTTAGTGCATTTGTAACTTGTCATTAGATCAAATGTCTTTTCTACTTTGTATTCCTACTGACTGACAACTAAAAGAATCCCTGGGACTGTTTAGTTAGGGACAGTCCAACTTTCTAAGACAGAAGAGCTACTGTAACAGATTTATCTTTTTAAGCCCTTTACCATGAGGCCATCAATCAAAAGGTGAGACATCAAGCTTACCGCAAACATCAGCAGAAACAGCTACATGTAAAATTTATTTATTGCAAGGCCAAAGGACATATGACAACTCCTCAGCAAGGGCCATGAATAATTGACACGTGTGAGGTTCTTGGAGCTGAAGGCCAGGGCTTGGCGCCTTCACAAATGCTGCCCAGCTGGTGACTCAGCAAGCGCCATTCAACTGAGGTACAAAATGACCTCAAGATTTTATCTTTAAAATACAGTATCATTTAAGCAAAGGCTGAGCCCCTTCCCCACTCTCTGCAAACTCCCTGGTGTATTCTTGTGTAACAAGAATAGTGATACAGAAAGCGAAACAAAAGAAGAGAGGAAGAGCAGACATGGATAAGAAGACAGCAATGAAAAGGAAACTAAATGACACAGAAAAAAAGGAAAGAATGTGACAGAAAAAGGCAAAAGACATTCTGAGAAAAGAGGAATCCTGTTACAATCTGTTTTCCTATTAAGGAAGAAAGTCCTTCCACCAGCTGAACAGCAGCTCCTAAAAATATCTTCCTTGAAACACATGAGCTTTGGTCTCTGTGGAAACAGAGTTCCATCCAGGAGTGGGAGACCCAAGTTAAATTTATGGGTATGTTCCTGCACTTCTAGGGAGCCCACCAGAGAGTTCAAAACAAGCAGGGCAACATTGCAGTGTGGAAACCAGCCTTCACCAAAAGCAGAGTAGGAAATAATTCACATAGTTAGTGTGGGCATAAGTAAAACATTGATTTGACAAGGGGGAAAAAAATAAAAGAAAAAAAAGGTGGCCATGCTTTTTTCCCCAAGGGAAGTCAAATACTGAGAGGTACAAAGCTGCTGCCATTTAAACAATGTGTTTCTACTCTCTTACCCACAAACACTAATCAGGTGGCAAAGTTCTCCAGCCTAGTCTACTCTCAATAACCCATGAGTAGATTATCTGGATTACGGATTACATTTCTTACATGCACAGAAAAAGCCCCAGCTACCTTCACAGGCAGTACAGCTATCTGCACCTACAGCTCACCCATTCAAGCCAGGTCTAGCTACAGCACCAACACACTCCAAAGTTAACAGTAACACAGCAATTTTTGTTCTCCCTGTGTTACTTCCTCAATTTATACAAATTATATTTACCAGCAGTTCTAGTCTCCTCACGCTAGCATGAACTATGTGTACAGAAGTTGGCTATTAAGAATCCATATCCCAGACTTTTCTATTTACTCCTGTGCAGAATATTAAGAGACCTCAGTCACACCAGCAGTTCAGCGGGACGGGAGAGATGGGGAATATTGCTGACAGCAAGGAGGATGGGATACAGTTATTTCTAGTCCAGTCTGCTCAGCTGTATGGTTGTGGCTTGGGCCATGTCCCTCCTCAGCTTCCTCATACAACACAGATGATGGTATCAATTGCCTTTGTAAAGTACTTAATGCTTTCTGGCTGACAGCACTATGTGCAAACTATGTATTATCATAAAACATCTCTAATTATGAGCCTAAAATACTGACTTCCCCCCTACCCCAGGCTTCAGCTTTGAGTGACACAGATGGCAAGTTTACCATTGCTATTTTTACTCTCTCCTTACTCAGTTGAAAGCACTAGTGGAATGCTGCTTCAGGGACTACAGACGTGTCATACGGCCGAAGTCCTGCAATGTTCACGGCCAAAGTTGCAGCATCTGTGCCAAACCTCAGAGGTGCTAAACACATAATCATTAATGAGGCCAGTCCTCTTCTCAGGCTTACTGAATCAGTGAAGTTAATCACACCTTATATTTTCAGTTTTGAAGTTTTATGGTATTTACTGTCCCAGTATCCCTTACCTAAACTGGAAAGCATAAAGAATGGCATGGATATACCAACAGCCACAAATTAGTTTTCAAAAACAGTCACAGTAACTATGTAGGCAGAGCATTTTGACAACACAAACTCCAATCCACAATGCTGTGGAGAGGTACTGCTTAATTGCCACTAAACTAAGGTAGCTGTGGTGAAGCTCTTCCTTGCAACACAGTATATAGAGATAAAAGGTCAGGAAAAACAAGGTACCTTAAGTAGCTCCCATGTTCTCGCAAGTAGACTGAGTTTGAAACTGTGCCCTCCCCTCTCAAGGGAAACACCAATAAAATAATTCATTTTTCAAGACACAAAGAAAGTCCAGCATCCATCAGGAGTGAAACAAATCATGTCACATTTGGAGGAAACGGTGAAGTATTTTTACTGGAACATACACGTGCTCAGTTAAAATATCTT